ATATATAAATTAATATAATTAATATAAATAAATTAATATAAATTAAATTAAGATTTTAAATTTTGTTAAGATTTTTAATTAATACGTTGAACAACGATGCAATAAAATTAATTAAATATCGGTATATTTTGAATACAAACTTAGAATATATAATGAACGTAGAATATATAATGTAAATAAGAAAAATTAATAATAAAAATAATAATAAATAGGAAAAAAATAGAAACAAAATAAAAATTTGGAAATCAGTGCCATTTCCTTTATACCACGCAATGAAAAGCATAAAAAAAGGAGAAAATAAGCATAAAATAATGAGAAAAGAACAGAGTATAAGAATTAATCAGCAATGCCATCTCTTGAATATCGAAGATATTTATTTAAAAATATGATCGTACAATAAGAGTAAAAAATGAATATCAGCGTCATCTCTTAAATATTTTTGGAAATATGGTTTTTAAAAAGATGTTTTTAATATTCAAAAAATGGTTTTACAATTCTTACATTTTATCTTTCTCGCACTATTTATTTTATATTCGTTTCATTTGTGACATCTTGAAGATGGCATTGATTGATAAATTGATTCTCATATTTTTATCTTATCTCTATTGTTCTTTCATTATTTTTTATTCTTGTCTACATTTAATGTAATATTTAAAACACAAAATCTGATTAAATTTATTCTTTTTTGGTTAACTTATTAATTAAAAATCTTAATATATCTATTTTATCCAATTTTTATATCCAGTAAGTGTTTTTGCAGAAATTTTTTTAATATTTAAATATATTAAATATTAAAATGATCAATTTTTATCTTATATTATATTCATATTAAATTTCGTCTATTTATATTGTTTTTTTTTAAACTTATTTTTATGTTAAATTTTTTTATGTTTTTGTCTTTTTTAGTGTACTTAATTTTTATTTTTGATAATATATTTTCATTACATTCTTTTTAATAGATGCATAGTTTTATTTTTTCTATTGATCTTTAAGATTTTATCAACATTGCTTTCCAAAATTCGTTTTTCAAAAATATCTCCTATTAAAATGAATATCAAAAATATTGTTGTAGAAAGATTTCGAAATTTAAATTTAAAAATATTAAAAATTTATTTTATTAATAATAATTTTTGAAAAGCGATGTTAAATTAAGAACTATATCTGCAGTTCACTATTGCAGTCTAAATTTTACATAATTGCTTTTGATTTTATTCAATTATTGAATTATAATTATTATTGAATTCTGGATATCAATAAACTTTATAAAGATATTTTTTTTGCGTTTCTTTTTCTTATTTTAAATTTATATTTTTTTTTAAAAACAAATTTCGCTTAAAAAGTAATTTTAAAAAAGGAAAAATATAAATACATTTATATATATGTATATGTAAAAATATATTTAATATTTTTAAAAAATTATTATAATTATAATAAAGTTAAAGTTTTTCAAAATTTGTACATATTTTCTTTTTTATATTATTTTTACAAATATTTTATTATTATAAAAAATTGTAGCACAGTATATGCAATTTTTATTCATAATCTTGATGTGCGGCAGAATATGATTCTAAAAAATAAAAAAAAAAAATAAAGATAAATTTACAAATAAAAAGAATATTTAAATAATTTTCGGAAAGTTTCAAAATTTGAATATATTAAACTTACTTTAATATATTACTTACTTTTTTTTTCAAAACCATACATGCTTAACAAACTTTGTTGTCTATGTACTGAATGCAATTGTTGGTTTCGACGTGTACTGCTTGTCGTATTTAATTTAGTATTTATAGGCTAAAAAAATATTTTAATATAGTTTTAATATTTTAATACAGTTCAAACAAATATAAAAATATTCTCGATTATTATATTTTTGTCTTAATATTATACTTTTTTTTAATAGAATTTTTAAAATCATATTCAACTTTTTATTAGCTGAATTTATTATAGCATATTTATGACTTAATGTTTATTATACAACAATTATATTTAATTTTATTTATTTCTTATTTTTAAGAATTATATGTTAAAAGTAATACTTACTTTAGAATTAAAAAAGCATTTATTTTTATTTTGTTTTGTTTTATTATTCATTTGTGTAAGTTCTTTTGTATCGGACCATTTAAATGAACTACAATTCAAGTTATCTATAGTTTCTTGTGGAATTAAAAATTCGGAATCTTCGGAATTAAATTCTGATAAACTACTTAGATTATTTATATTACTATTTTCTATATTTCTATTCATTGGAACATCTAAATGTAATTTTTCTAAATTACAATTAGAAAAAATATTTGAATTTTTAATATTTTTACATTCATTTGATACAAATGATATATTATTCTCTTCATCAATATCCATAGGATGTGAATTTGTTTCTATTTCGTCACTTGTCATTAAAATTTGTAAATTAATATCGCTCGTTTGATTGTCTTTATTTGATTTTACATTTTTTTTTTCTGATAAAATTTCATTTGAACTTGTAGATAAATATATATCATTATTATCTCTAATATCATTAGTTTCGTCAATAGCTTTAGCAAAAAATTTACTCTCTGTAATAATTTCTTCATTTATAATTGTTTTTCTAACATGCATTATATTTCTTCTTTTTATTCGACTTTTATTCTTAAACAAAAGACTTGGAGAAGTTTTAGTGTTAGATGATTTCGAAAATGGATTTGTTCTTTTAACTAAAATCGGAGATATTTTATTTTCGTTAGGAACAAGAATATTTACTTCTGAATTATTTTCAACATCTATTGTAGTTTTAGATTCATACATATTCAAAATTTCTTCTTTGTTTAATTGTTCATATTCTGTAACATATGCATAAATATCTTAAATATTAATTTTCTAATATATATTAGATATAATATATATTAATATATCTATATAAATTAATACATATTATATATAATATAAATTAATATATATCTAAATATAATATA